TGTGTGTGTGTGTGTCTGTGTGTGTCTGTGTGTGTGTGTGTCTGTGTGTGTGTGTGTGTGTGTACCTGGTCACCCACTCAACAGGCTTGCCCTCAGCCCCTGCAGGCTGCTTAGGTTGTAGCAGAATGTATGAGCGTTTACCTAAGGTGGACTCTGTGTCTGTGAATTCTTCTTTTGGGCGAAGCAGAAGAGAAATGTTTATTACTCAAATGCTAAAACCTCCTCAGTCAATGTGTTCAGCAGCCATTTCCTACCTTTGTTGGCCTCTCACTGGAACTTGGATTTTGGCATAGTAACGATGTCGCTGTTTGGCCTAGTGACTGAGTTACCGGCTCTGGTTTCCCTTCGCGCTACATTCAAGGGACTGTTCCTCTCACTTCCACACCTGTAATGACACGTGTAAACGGTGCCTCCCCTCCTCTCAAGCAGACACATTCCGTAAGCCAAATCCCTAAGAACTCCTGTTAGACATTTTTCTTTTTCTTTTTCATATGTTAGTTCTTATAAAATGTGACAACTGTTCCATCTCCCCGCCAAAGCAGAGCTCCCATGGAAGGCAGTGGGGCTTAAAGGAAGAGCTGGGTGTGTCGGGAGAGGCTCTGCCCGGGTAATGGTACCAGAAGCCTGCCGAAAAGAGAGTGCAAAGTGACCTGCACACCTCCCTGCGAAACGTGACGGCCGCAAGGACCTGTCACACACCCACACTGTAGTGTCCCCATGTGTACCCAGGGAATGGTGCCAGCAATGTTTGGCTTTCGTGAATGTCATTATTAATAGCTATTTTAAGCACTGCAGTACAGATATTTATTCTGGGTTTGGTACAGCAGTTCTGTTTGAATTGTACCCCTCTCTTGCATATTTTTAACTTTGTCAGGCAAAATTCAGTAAAACCAAAATAAAATTTTATTCTTAATGCAGGTGGGATTACTTAGACAGAAGCTGGACAGTCTGGAAAAATGTAACTTAGCAATGACTCAGAATTATGAAGGACAACTACAAACCCTAAAAACTCAAGTAAGAAGACTTATTTATTTACTGTCAAACATTCTGATATATGTTTTGACCTATAAAATTGTGTTAATTGTATTAAAATTTATAGTTTTTAATACAAACAAAAGTTCTTATATTTTAACTATAGGCTATATGTTTGGCCCTGTCTTTCATTGTTTTATATGTATTGATTTTGCCTTTTACTAGATTGTGACCTCTTATCTCTTTAACTGTTACAGCTTTCTGTTTATCAAGTGACTTGTTGATTAATTATATAATAAATAGCTATGTGAACAACAACAACAACAAAATTAGTATTTTGGAGTCATTACTCTCTAATAGGGAAGTCCTTTTTTCTGTGGCAATTTAAAATATGCACATTTGTTATTATGAAATAGATAACTGAAAGAACAAAACTGGGTTTTATTACTTTGTTATTGGAAGGCTTTCAGAAATGATAGGGTTCTGCATCTGTGATGAGAGGGATACTGATTTCCTTCTTATTTATTCCTGTATCTCCCCACTGTGCTGGAAAGCAAAAAGGCTTCTCTCCCTTACACAGATAACATATAGGGCAATAGTCACCTGAGCCTCTCAGGTCTGTTAGATGATATATCCTTGCTTAACTTAGTAAATGAATCAGTGGAAAATATGGTAATTGTACTTTACAACCAACTTTTTTTGGAGTGCAAAGATTTCATAAATGGTAATGTAGTTAAAGGAGCCCAAAGTTGTTTATGCTCCTCCTTAAGTACCTTTTTTAGGGAGGTTACCAGCCACTAATATTGGAATATGAAACATTTGATGTCACATAATAGATATGATCTTATGTCTTAGACATCTTGTCTGCAATTTAAATAGCTGCCACTACATGGTAGCTTGAATTATGAAACTTTATATGTTTTTTTTTAATTGTTTAAAATATTATAGATGTCCCCTTTTCTCCCCATTTTATATGTTTTTTTCCCTTGCTAAGACTAAGTATTTAACACTTAAGTCAATCGACCTTGTGTTTTCTATAAAGATAAAGCTCTAGCCCGGCCGGTGTTGCTCAGTGGTTGAGCATCGACCTATGATCCGGGAGATCTCAGTTCGATTCCCAGTCAAGGAACATGCCCTGGTTTCCAGCTCGATCCCCAGTAGGGGGTGTGCAGGAGGCAGCCAGTTAATGACTCTCATCATTGATGTTTCTCTCTCTCCCTCTCCCTCTCTCTCTCTGAAATCAATAAAAACATATTTTTTTTAAAAAAAAGATAAAGCTCTAAAATTGCAACCTACATAATAAATCACTATAATTGTTCAGTGTAAACAAAGAGATCATGATCTGGAATAAGTTTGAAAATGTGTAGTAATTTAGATACAAGTAAGTAGGATCTCCAAATTATATTTAATTAGGTCAGTCATGCTTACCAAATCTTTAATTTCTGGCTTTTTTTTTTAATGCCTGTTGTTAAAAAGTTTTGGGCCTTATTTATAGGTTTTGAGCAGTCATTTAATATATGAATCCTAAACATTTGATGCTTTAAGCAGAAAAGAAAGAAAGAGGGAAGGAGGTAAAAAGACAAAGAGAAAAAAGTACTATATACTGACTTGATTTGCATCATAGCTAGTAATATGTCATTTTTCTAACCAGAAAATGCTGTTTTGTGGCAAACATGCTTGTGTTGCTGCTTTCTTACTCTACTGCTATCTTCTTTGAAATTCCTGATTTATTTGCAATTTCATTTTTCTAAAAGATCATAAGGATACACTTTCCTGCACTCTGCCTTGAATTACTCAACTCTGTCAAAGCTTTCCTGTAGAAATTGCTTTTTTTTAAAAAGGGGGGTATTTTCCTTTCCTTCTAACCATAATAAAATTATAATATATATACATTTGAGATTTCCACTTCTGAAAAAATGGAGTAGATTTACTTTTTCTTATTAATTCTGCTAAATACAACTAGAACCCCTGGACATTATTTATAAAACAGTATAAGAAGACTGGGAAGTAGAGAGAAGAGACAGACCAATTAGGACCACGGGACCCAAGGAACAACATGGTAGTGAGTTCCCTGGGTTGAGTCAGCAACCCAGACACTCCAGTGGGCACAACCAACCAACCAAACAAAGGCCCAAAGAAAGCCTCTCTTCAGCCAAAAGACCAGCAAAAAGACAGCCTAGCAAGATTAAACATGATTACTCCAGCCGAACAAACCAGGAAAAGACTACAACCCCAAACCCACCCCACCAGCAGAGACTTAGTAGACAGCCTAGGTTTCCATCCCTAGGTTATAATTATGTAGCCCAGCCCCGCCACTCCCCCGCTGGGCAAGAATCAGAGAAGACTAAGTGAAGAGCCAGGAATTTCATTACCACTGGGCATTAGCAAAGCCCTCCCCAACCCAGGTGTCAGTGGAGACCATGTGGAGAGCTTAGATATCTATGCCTATCTGCTGGTAATGAGGGCCCCCCCCTCCTCTCTGGAATGGTATGGGGAAGCCTAATGAGGAAGCAGGATGTTCACCACCCCTCAGTGGTGACAAGGCTACCTACCCTCACTGTAGTATCCCCGAAGGCCATGTGAGAAGCAGTAATAAGGCACCTATGCACCTGCAGTCAAGGTGGTGTCAGTAAAAGACTAGTGAGGAGCCTGAAGTCCCACTCCCACTCAACCGCAATTAAGGAACACCTTTCCTGGGTTACCAACTGAGGCCAAGACCTGGACTTCCACTGCCAGCTGGAAGTAATGCAGTAGCATTGCATTTTCCCTGCTGGAATGTTATCAGAAGAAGGCTGCTAACGCATAATATTTAAATAAAATACAGAGTGTTATAGCACAATACCCCAAAAGGTATATGTTTCAATAAAAAAAATCACTCATTATACCAGAAGCGGAAAGATCTCAACTCAAATAAGTAGACAATCAAGTGATACCGACCTTGAGTAGGTACCGATAGAATCATCTGACAAGGATTTCAAAGCAGCTGGTATAAAAATGCTTCAATGAGCAATTTACAAACATACTTGAAACAAATGCTAAACTGGAAAGTTTTAGCAAAAAAAATAAACTATAAGGAAAAATCAATCAGAAATTTTATAACTGAAAAGTACAGTAACCAAACCAAAAAAATTCAATGGATGGACTTAAAAGCAGAATGGAGCGGGTAGAGAAAACAATCAACAAGCTTGAACATAGCAAAATAAAAATCACCCAATCTGAACAACAGAGAGAAAACAGACTAACGGAAAATTAACCTCCGGGAGATACAGTACTGTAAGAAAAGATTGAAGGTCTGTGTCGTCAGAGTCCCAGGAGGAGATGAGGAGAGGGTGGGAATGAAAAAGTATTCAATGCAGCAATGGTGGAAAAGTTCCAAAAGTTGGCAAAAGGTTTAAACTTACAGATTCAAGAAGCTTAGTGAAACTCAAACGTGATAAACCCAAAGAAGCCTACACACACACACACAAATTATCTTGGAAGCAGCAAGACAGAAATAACATCATACCAATAGGGAAAAACCAATTCAGGTAACAGATTTCTCATCCAAACCCATGGAGGCCAGAAGGAAGTGGAATATTTTTCAATTACTGAAAGAGCAGAAATATCAACCCAGAATTCTGTGTCCAGGAGTTCTATGTCTCAGAATGAAAGGGAAATTGAGACATTCTCAAAGGAAGAGAATTTGTCACCAATAGACCTTCACTAAAAGGATGGCTAACAGAAGTTCTGTTAGCAGAAAGGAAATGATAAGGAAAGAATCTTGAAACATCAGGAAGGAAGAAAAAATACTGGAAAGAGTAAAAATATGGTTAAATGCAATAGATTTTCCTTCTCTTGAGTTTTCTTAGTTGTTTGACAGCTGATAGAAAAATTAAAACAATGTCTGATGTGGTTCTTAATGTATGTTGAGGAACTACTTAAGACAATAATGTTATAAATGGGTCAGGGTAAAGACAGAGAAATAAGATTTCTATACTTTGTTTGAACTGGTAAAATCTCAACACCAGTAGAATTTGTGTTAATGATGTATATATAACATAATACCTAGAGCAACAACTTAAAAAGCTATACAAAAAGATATATTCAAAACACTATAGGTAAATTAAAATGGAATTCTAAAAATAACCCAGAGGAAGACAGGAAAGCTAAAACAAAGAAACCAAAAGCTGGAGAACAAACAAAACAAGTTGGGCTTAAGCCCTAACATCAACAATTACATTAAATGGAAATGGTCTAAATATACCAATTAAAAGATAGAGAATGACAGAGTACATTTTAAAAATATGGCCCAACTATATGCTCTATTCCAGAAACCTACTTCAAATATGTGTATATGTGTCTGTTGAAAGTAAAAAGATAGAAAAATATACCAGGCAAATATTAATCAAAAGAAAGCAAAAGTGGTACCAAGATAATTCAGTGGGAAATGTCTATTGTCTTTTCAACAAACAGTAAAGGGACAACTGAATATCCACATACAAAAGAATTAAGTGGGACACTTCCTAAACCGTAGACAAAAATTAACTCAGAATGGATCAAAGACCTAACTCTAAAAACTAAATCTGTAAAACTTTTAGAAAAAAACATTAAGAGTAAATATTTCTAACTTTGCATTAGGCAATGGTATCTTAGATTTGGCACCAAAAGCACAAGAAAAATTAGATAAACTCAGCTTCATCAAAAGTGAAAAACCTTTGTGCTTCAGAGTACACCATCAAGAAAGTCAAAGACAATACACAAAATGGAAGGAAATATTTGCAAATCATATCTCTGATAAGTGACCAGTATCGAAAATTTTAAAAATAACTTACCAACAATAAAAAACAAATAATCAAATGTAAAAATGGGCAAAGATACGAATAGACATTTCTACAAAAGTGATATAGAAATGGCCAATAAGCACATGAAATGCTCAATGTCATTAGTCATTAGGGAACTGCAGATCAAAGCTATAATAAGATACCCCTTCACACCCACTAGGATGGGTATAATAAAAAAGGTGAACAATAGCAAGTGTTGGTGAAGATACAGAGAAATTGGAACCCTACACATTACCAGTGGGAATGGAAAATGATTCAGGCACTTTTGGAAATAATTTGGCAGTTCCTTAAAAAGTTAAACTTTAGAGTTTCCATATGACCTGGCAATTCTACTCCTAGGTATATACCCAAGAGAAATAAAAAGGTGTATTCACACAGAAACTTGTACAAATGTTCATAGCAGCATTTTTCACAATATCCAAAAAGTGGAAATAACCCAAATGTCCATAAATTGATTAACGGATGAACAAAAAGTGGTATGTCCATGTGATAGAATATTATTCAGCCATAAAAAGAAATGATGTATTTATTGATCCATGTTAAAACATGGATGAACTTTGAAAGCATTACGCTAAGAGAAAGAAGCCAGACCCAAAAGATCACACATTGGATGATTCCATTAATATGACATGGTCACAACAGGCAAATCTATAGAGACATAAAGTGGATTTTAGTAGTTACTGGGGGCTTGGGGAAGGAGGAAATGTGTAGTCACTTTAATAGGTATGGGATTTCTTTTTGCAGCGATGAAAATATTCTGAAATTAGGTATTGTGATGGCTTCACAACTTTGTTGATACAGTAAAAACCAATAAATTGTATAGTTTAAAGGGTGAATTTTACAGTAGATGAATTATATTTCAAATTTTTAAATTATATGAGGGGAAAAAAAGAAAGAAGTGACTACTTAATATCCAATAAAGTAGACGGTTGTCCATAGCTTTATTTGTAATAGCCCCAAACTGGAAATAACCAAAATGCCTCAATATGTGAATGATTAAACAAACCGTGGTTACATCCATACCATGGAATTACACTGAGCAATAAAAGGAAATGAATTATTGGTACACTCATGAATCTCAAGGGCATTATGCTAAGTAAAAACAGCCAATCTCCAAAGGCCTTATATAGTTTGATTGTATTTTATAACATTCTCAAAATGACAAAATATAGAGATGGAAAACAAATTAGTGGTTGCCAGGGGTTAGGAGTGGGGGGTAATGGGGATGAGTGTGACTACAAGGGCACCAGGGAGATCTTGGTGGTGATGGGATGGTTCTATATCTTGGTTGTGGTTGTGGTCACACAAATCTACACGTGTGATAAAAAATGGCATAGAACTATGCACATATATTGTACTGGCTTCAATTTCCTGGGTTTGGTATTATACCCTAGTTCATAAGGTGTAAATATTGGGAGAAACTGGGGGAAGAGGGTTTGGAACCTCTCTGTAATATCTTTATAACTTCCTGTGAATCTATAATTATTTGCAAATAAAAAAACTTTTGTAAACATACAGAAATTTCCTCACAGATGTGGATTGACCATGCTGCTTTTAACTTATTATTTGACAGTAGAAAAAGAAACAGAAAGATAATACAGTCTAAATTATAAAAAGAATTATGGGTAAGGAAACATATCAATTTTGATATTTAAATTTATTTAAGCTTATATCAACATGAGTAAGTCATTTATGTTGTTTCTATCTTTTAAATTAAGTATTCTGCTTTCTTTAATAAAGTATAACCTGCTTATTTTATAGATTGAGATATTGAAATTAAAATTGTCAACACAAGGTGGCACTAAATAAAAGTAAGGAAACAAACTTGGTTTTTTAAAATTATGAGCTTTGCTACATATGGTTAAAACAAACTGAACAAAACATTTATCAAGTGAGTCACTGTTTAACTGTGCGGTTAATGAAGTCCCCAATTTACATGGAAGCTGAATTGTGTTCAACTTCAATAACTTAGTTTTAATAACTGGTTCTATCTTCACTAATTGGAACATTTAAGCTTTACTGTGTTTTCTAATCATGACTTAAATTTTCAAAGAGGTACACAGAATAGAACTAGAGTGAAATCAAGTTAAAAATTACTAGTAATAGTAACATGTTAGCATTCCCTATTATTTACAGTTTTCCAAACTAACTAATAGCTTTGAAAAGCTGAGATTACACCAGATGAAACAAAATAAATTTCGACGAAAAGAGTTACCGCACCTCAAAGACGAAACACCCTTTGAACCGAGTAATTTGAACCAGAAATTAGAGGTGAGCTATATTTCCTTAGTCTCCTCCTGTGTATTAAAGGTTGATTTCGTTGTTGGGTGGCGAGCGGGGGTGGGGTGGCTATTTGTCGCCGGTGTTCACGATGGCATGTGCGGCTGTGGTGATGAACCATTACGGATCAAAACCTCCTTGCACACATTTCCATAGCGCACCTGCCCTTCAGGCACTTAGTGAATTAAAGCATCGCTTTGATTTGTGCATCTTTTACACATATCAGCATTTTTGGAGAGCAAAAAAAAAGAGAAGTTCAAAGAAACTTCAGATGTTGAATGAAACTGAAGGACATCCCCAGGGTCTGTTAGAGCGAACATCTAATAATAATCTTTTCATGCCTACTTACCTATTAGGTACTTAAATCCCAGTGAAGCCCCGTAACAGTTCCCAGAACAGAGCCTGAGGTGTCAGGGCCTTTCTTTAAAGAGGTGGCGCCACTCCAGTATAGCCACCCCATCCCCTCCGAGGTCTAACGTCTCAGTCCTGAGAAGGTCTCCTGCGTCACAGATGCGCTCACTCTCACCCCTTAACCTTCCAACCTTGGGAAAAACAAACCAGCTATTCTGCTTCCCTATGTTCTTGGGCACTCCGCCCACAGGTCATGTACAGCGGAGAGAGATTCTCCTATAAATTCCCATTCCTGACATTAGCCGAGTTCCCGGTGCTACGTCGTTGTTTTCTAACTGACCCCTAGTTGACCCTTATCACGCTGTTTCCCTCCGTTTCTGTCACTGTCCTCAGGCCCTGCCCCGCACCTCCCGCCAGCCCCAGCCAGTGACTTCTGTCTTGGCTGATGGTGCCCTGCACCCCGAGTCACCCAGGCAGGGGCCTCCTCGGACTCCCAGATCTGGTCCTTCCTCTTTTTCATACTCCAGCCCAGGTTTTCCCCTTTCCTCTGTCCGGTGCCTCTTATCTCCTTCCTCCTGTCTAATTTCTATTGCCCAGTTTTATACTTTATCACTTTACTCTTCAATTAACAAGCCTTCTCAAACTTTTCCTCCTAAATATTTTTAAGAGCAGAAAAAACAAAATCTGGGATCACAGCCCTAAAAAAACAGCCTGTTGCAATAACTTTGTTGGAAGCTTAGGGTTTTAGTTTATATTTTTTACTTTTTTAAAATTTGTCTTTATTGTTAAAAGTATTACAGATGTCCCCTTTTCCTCCATTGATCCCCTCCACCCCACATCCACACACCCCCAGGCCTTCCCCATACTATTGTTTGTGTCCATGGGTTATGCACATATGCATATAAGTTCTTTGATTCCTGCAAATTTTATATTCTACTGAATAATGAATATACACTTTTTAATATAAAATTACTACCACTAGTAATTTTGTTGACCCTCTAGGGAAATGCAGTGTGTATAACCCCCTGGTTCTTGCTGTGGCGTAACTAAACTGGCTTTAGAAACATACCGGTCTCAGGGAAGATGGCTAACAATGTGCGCTGTCTACACATTTGCTCTCACCGAAAATGCAGCAGTCAAGCCACTGAATATCCATTTGACTGACACTCATGCATTGTAGTGGGAAAGTCACATTCATATAAATTGTTTACACAGCCCTGGCCAATGGTCCAGGCACTTATGGGAGGCAACTGATGGATGTGTCTCTCTCACATCAATGTTTCTCTCTCTTTCTCTCTCTCTCTCCCCCCCTTCCTTCCTCTCTAAAATCAATAAAAAAATTGTTTAGACAAAGAAAAGCCTTAAATTAATATTAAGTACTTTATGTGTATACATTTTACATTTAGGAAACTAAATATTTCATAAAATGTATCATAAAATTATAGTGGAAATTAGTCACAAAATATGATATGTTTGTATTTGTACAAAAAATTTTAGGCACACTATGTAGATACAGTTTAATCTGTATAATTATGGAAACACTTCATGCACCTGTTTTTACTTAGAGCCATGTGAAAATTAATATGTAAGAGATGAACTGTTCCAGTTTCAATCTGCATCTAAGCTTTTTTTCCTTTGGGACAAACATTTATACACTGCTGTAGTGATATAGCAGTGGGAAGCAGCATGCTATAGGGGGAGAACAGGACAGTTTATAACTTAAAGCAGGTCCTCACTGACTCATTTATTTGCTCTGTGACCTTAGGGCAACCTGTTAACCTCACAGGGGACTGAAAGTATCTTATTGGTGACGTTGTAGTTATGAAAGGAAAAAACTATAAATATACATATATATATTAATTTAGATGCATGCTGAAACATTTAGGGGTGAAAATGCATGAGGTCTGGACATTGCCTTAAAATACTCCCAACAAAAAAGGGAAGAGAGAGGTGAAATAAAACTGGACTAAGTCAATGGTAGTTAAACTGGCGAAGGGTATGTGGAAGTTTGTTATACTCTCTACTTTTATGTAAGTATGAAAATTTTCAAAATAAAAAAACTATCTTATAGGTGGAGGCTTGGAGAGTCCCTGACATTACTAAAGAAATGTTTGCTCCATTTCTCAATATTTAGTAGAGGAATTGAAAATATATATGTATATAAACATGTAAAATAATATAGAAATAAAATAATGTAGCTTCCACTAAAAACTCTACTTTTATTACCCCTGACCCACTCTCAACTTTAAAGACCCAGAAAAGGCTTTCCTGCCATGGAGTACTTACTCTGGAGGCAAGTCTGCAGACCCTCTGGGACCTGGGCTGTAGGAACCAGTCCCTACAAAAATCCTTATAAAGCTCCCCAGGTCTCTTCAGGGCCCCGTAAGTGCTGGATATTTTGTGCTTGCCTGCTCATCTTGAAACCAATACATCTGTAAGACCAAGGAAGCCAGGAGCGTTAGAAGCACCTGCTGATATGTCTGTGATGCACATTTCTAGCCTTGCTTGGCCTCATTTCTGTCTGTTGTAGAATTTGTAAGTGATTGAGGTTAATGCTCCTGCCTCCTCCTAAAGCATGTTGGGAAATACTTAATTTTCAAGACTGAGGTTATTGGATGGGTAATGTTAAATATTAGTATTATCTGAAAGATATGAACTATCTAAGTTTGACCTCTGACTCCAAAGACTCCTTTTTAGATTAAAAGTAAACATCAGCCCAGCTGTCATGGCTCAGCGGCTGAGCATCGACTTATGTTACCGGGTTTCGGGCTCGATCCCCAGCAGGGGGCGTGCAGGAGGCAGCTGATCAATGACTCTCATCATTGGTGTTTCTCTCTCTCTCTCTCCCTCCCCCTCCCTCTCTCTGAAATCAATACTTTTTTTTTTAAGTAAACATCAATTTTCATGAGCCTCATAACATTTTGAAATTTTATCTATTTTCTACTAGAACCAAGCTTTATACATTTATCACTATTACTAAAGATACTGTTTTCATGTACCTGATTTTAAATTGTCAAATGTCAAGATCAAAGTCAATAACTTTAAATAAACTGTCTCCATTTATCTTAATATACAGTTGACTCTTGTACAAAAAGGGGGTTAGGAGTGCTGATCCTCAACCCATGCAGCCAAAAATTCATGTATTACTTTTTACTCTCCCCAAAACATAACTTATAGCTTACTGTTAACTGGAAGCCTTAGTGATAAGTAGTTGATTAACACATATTTTGTATGTTATAGATAAAGAAAATATTAAGAAAACCATAAAGAAGAGAAAATACATTTACAGTATTTATTTAAAAAAATAACTCACATGTAAGGGGACCCATGCAGTTCAAATCCATGTTGTTGAAAGTTCAACTGTAGTTTACTTGTCTATTTGCCATAAAAGGGGGCCTGTCTGTATTCCTCCAACCTTATTACCCATCTCCACTCAACTTCAGGTCACCTGTAGTTACTATGAAAGCTTCCTACTTTAAAGCCTTTCTTCACTGATTGTTTTGGAACTTGTGGATTTATAAAATAAAAATTTCCCCAAATGGCCTTTAAAATCAGATCTCTATAGAAAATATGAAATTATATCTTCTTTTCATTTTAAACAAGACGAAGCTTTCATTCTCTAAAAAAGTAAATTTATTTTACAGCACGCCCAATCCAGTCATTTTAACAATCCTCCAAAAGAACACCAGTCACTCTGGCCAAACGAACTATTTCAGTTTCACATATTATTAGAGGTGGTTGAAATAACTATGACATCCTCTGCGTGGCTTTTATGTGCCACTGATATTGTACTTGTGCTGTAAAATTATTTACATGTACATTTTCCTACTTTATTACACATTCCTTGATTACTTTTCTTTCAAAAAAAATATAATCATGAAATATTTCCAAATTCTCATCTCTCCATAGTACCTGGTGGACACTAGTTGCTTAATAAAAATTACTGAATTGATTATTGAAAACATTAATACATTCATGCCATGTATCTATATGCAATAATATACGGTCAAAGACCTAATAACTATAGAGTTTGTTTCCAACCATTTTGTTTTCTTTGCAAAATTTAGTGAGAAACGTTTCAGTTCTAGGAAGTATTGATACCATGCTTTTGTTTGTACATTCATGGAATATAAGTGGTGTCTGGCACTTTGTCGGGCACTGTGAGGCATACAAAAGTAATGAAATGTGCAGTCCTTACCCTTAAGTTGCTTACAGCCTAGACAGGAAAGTAAAATACAATGGCCAACCCTAGGCAAAACTGAGGAGCAGTGAAGTTTTCTTTGGCATGCCCAGAGCCATCGCCTTGAGTTGAGTTATGAACAGATAATCATGCTCCCTGAATACACTACTTGAGCAAAAACTCCAGCAACTGAGCATGATGTGTCACGCTGTTTCTACCACTTCGTCTCCAGGCTAGTCGGTGCTGCCTGAATGAGGCCTGAGATTCTGTTCCCAAGAATGAGATGATCTTGGCTTCACCTTGGATAGTAGCTTTGAAAGTCACAGGAACAGTCACTAAATCAGTCCAAACCCCATCCCATAAAAAAACAAGGAACAGGGCCCTGGCTGGTGCGGCCCAGTTGGTTGGGCACCTTCCCAGGCACGGAAAGGTGCCGGTTCCATTTCCAGTCGGGGCACATGGGAGCATGCAGGAGGCAGCCTATCGGTGTTTGTCTTTCTCTCTCCCTCTCCCTCCCTCTCTCTCTAAAAATCAATGAAAATATTTTTAAAAAACACAAGAAACAGGTTTGGTGAGTGGGCGTAGAGAATGAAAGAAAGGAAAACACTCCTGGTGTCAGCTCAGGAAATAGAAAGGAAGTACCGGATGCAAAAAGTTGCTTGAAACTTCCTTATTAGTAACCAATTTTTTTCATTTTTAACAAATAAAATGCTTAAGTTTTACACGATTAAGTTACAAATTCCATATTTTCCTAATAAAAATTAAGGTATATCTAGCAATAAATCCAAGATGAGTGTTTTTGTACTTTTTTTTTCTAATGGGGAAAATATGCACTTACTCTTTTCTCAGAATGAAGATATAGAAATGAAAGAAGCCCTGTTCATTGTGCTTTAAAATGAATAATTTTCTCCGACTTATGTTTGTCCCTCCACTTTTTTTTAAAGGAATTTAGAGCAAAGTCAAGAGAATGGGATAAGCAAGAGATACTCTATCAGACTCATCTGGTTTCTTTAGATGCTCAACAAAAAATGTTGTCTGAGAAGTGTAATCAATTTCAGGTACATTATCTAATACTGTCCTCTAAATTAGAAGAAATTAGAGGTTAAATTTTACTACCTTTGCCATTCAGCATGTAACCTTTTTACAAATAGAAATGCCAACTAATAGAAAATAACCAGAGCAGGTACAGCACTGGTTAAAGTCATAAGTGCATGAACTATCTACAATGGTGAGTTCAGTCTCCATGTCTTAAAGGACGGTGCTATTAAAAGTGTACATTGTTGCTTGGCCGGCATGGCTAAGTAGTTGGGCATCAACCTGTGATCCAGGAGATCACAGTTTGATTCCCGGTCAGGGCACATGCCCCGGTTGCCGGCTCGGTCCCCTGTCGGGGGCGTGCAGGAGGCAGCCGATCAATGACTCCCTTTCATCATTGATGTCCTATGTCTCTCTCTCCCTCTCCCTTCCTCTCTCTGAAATCAATAAAAACAGGTTTTTTTTTTAAGCGTCCATTGCTAGTAACATGTTTTTGCATGCCTATGGGCAAGTCACTTAGAAAGTCTAGGGTTGCTTGATCCCTGCCCTCAAGAACTTCACAGCCCAGACAGAGATAAGCATGTCCTGACTTACAGATAATAATGATAAGGAAAGAGAAACAATCCAAATCCCTTTAGAAGTCAAAGGATTCAAAGAAAAATTTGGACTCAGCCAGGAAACATCCTCCAGCAAGGGTTGAACTGGACCTGGACCTTGAAGAATGGATATGTTTTGAGACAAGAGAAAATGGATTCTAGGTGGTGGAAAAAAACAGGCAAAGTCACTGAGGCAAGAGAGCAAAAGGCAAATTCTGGGAATGGAAAATGGGTCAATTGGCTGGGAATCCATGTGGGAGATGGGGAAGGGTGGTAGGTGAATTGGATATAGATTGTAACAAGCCTTTAATGCTTGGCTAAGGAATTTTGAATTTTTATTAAAGCCAATAAGAAACTATTGTTTGGCTGATGACTTATTTTTCATTCTTTCTTTAAGTTACTGAGTTATATGTCATACATGTTCCCCGAATTGAACAATACAAAATGATGTAACATAAAATTAAGAGCCTCACCCCTTACTCTATTTTTATCCATTTAATATAAACACTGTTGACAGTTAGGTGTTTATCTTCACTGCTTTTTCTTTTGTTTGTAAAAACATGTAAAAATATGTATTTAAGTGGAAGTTGCATTTTTCCCTTTTTAAAAATTTGTTTTTTATTTAATAAATAAGCCATGGACATTATTTTGAGTTGCTACATAAAATTCTACTTAATTCTGCATAGTATTTCATAGTATATCATAGATATACCATATATACCATAGTAAATAATAGATACACTGTACTTTTTTCAATTATTTCCTTATTGATGCACATTCAGGTTGTTTCCACTTCTATGCTATTACAATGTTGTAACAAATATTGTATATGTACTTTAAATACTAATGCTATTCTTTTGTTAGATTAAAATTCTAGAAATAATTGTTGAGCTATAGGATATGTCCATTCCTCACTTGAGGATATGCTTATTGATTTTAGAGAGAGGGCAAGGGAGAGAGAGAGAAAGAGAAAGAGAGAGAGAGAAAGATCGATGGGAGAGAGAACATCGATCAAGTGGTTGCCTTCCATACGTGCCCTTACCAGGGATCAATCTTACAACCCAGGTATGTGCCCTGACCAGGAATTGAACCTGCAACCTTTCAATATATGGAATGACACTCCAACCAACTGAGCCACACCGGCCAGGACTCTATGATTCTTTATGTAAGCTTAAATATAATATTCTCCATTTAATTGACACAATTTTCATATTTCTCAGAAACAGGCACAAAGTTACCAAACTCAACTAAATGGTAAAAAACAGTGCATAGAAGAAGACAATAGCTCTGAAATTCCTCGGTTGATGTATGAACCAGATCCTAGCTGTGAAATGAGTGGACGAGACGAGTTCATTATTGAAAAACTAAAATCAGCTGTGAGTGAAATAGCATTAAGCCGGAATAAGTTACAAGATGAAAATCAGAAGCTCTTACAGGAACTGAAAATGTACCAAAGACAGTGCCAGGTGAATATATATTTATTTTCAACTGATCTTGCCCATGATTTGTAAATATGATAACTCAAAGCTAATTTTATATTGCATGTGTAAATTCAGCTCATATTTCCCCTTAGTAACTAATTCTCACTTGATGAGTAAATTCATTAACCCCATAGGTACATTAACCCACTAGAGCGCACTTTGGTTCTGCAGTGGCATAAAAATAATGTATTGCCAATGGAGTATAACAGAGGTCACTTACAGACATAACATACCTTAGTGACTGCCAGGGGCTGTGGGGAGGGAAAATGGGGAGAGAATACTAATGGGCATTAGATTTATTTTGGGAGTGATAAAAACGTCCTGGAATTAGATAGTAGTGATACTTGCACAAATCTGTGAATATACTAAAATCCACTGACTTGTATACTTTAAAATGGATGAATTTTATAGTTTGTGAATTATATTTTAAGAATTATTGAACAATTGACTTTTTCATTTTTATTTATTTTTTAAATATGTTTTTATTGATTCAGAGAGAAGAAGGGGGAGGGAGATAGAAAGATAGGAACATCAGTGATGAGTCATTGATTGGCTGCCTCCTACACGCCCCAGACGGGGGACCAAGCAGAAACCTGAGCATGTGCCCTGACCCAGAATCAAACTGACTCCTTGGTTCATAGGTCAACACTCAACCACTGAGCCACACTGGCAAGGCACAACTGACTTTTAAAAATGTCTGTAGTGTTTTCTACAGCCTTTATTAGCAGAGGAACCTCCTGCCCTCAGAACACCCCACTCTGTCTTTACCAATAACCTACAGGTCTCTTTCACTTTGCGTGAAACAAATTATCTTTGTGTCTCGAATGCTCTAGCTGGACTAGTAGGAAAAAGATCTGGATTTCTATCCCAAAGTCTGCCACTTGTGAGCTGTGTAACTTTGGACCAAGTTTGGCCCTCAACTTCCTCATCTATAAAAATGGCAATGGAGTTGATGAACAGGATCAGGCACACTTAAATATTAGCTTCCCTGTACAATTGAGTGGAAGAGACCTGATGATGTGGAAGGACTCTGCCATTCCTCTCACCCAGGGCACAGCCAATTCCCGCTGGGGAAATTCACTCAGAAGGCCGTGGCCACAAACCTCACGTGAGAACTCAGCATTGCCAGGAGTCCTGCTGTGCTGCTCCAATCAGCTAACTCTCCCGTTCCCATCGCAGGCCATTTCAAGCCTTTCTCACTCTCAAACATCATTCCCAAGCCCCCACCTCCACTGTCAACACCTGTCGTTGCCTGTTTTCTTCACAAGGAAAAGAGAAGCCATCCGGTAGTCGTCTTACCTCCCCGTATCCAAGTGCATGAGCTTGTCTAGATTCCCTCTTCCTTCCTCCTTTCCTATTGCAAAGGAGAAGGAACTCTCTCGTGCTTTGGGCAATACCTCCACTTGTGCTTTGGGACGCATCCCACCCACCCTCTCAGGAACCTGACACTGTTACCATTACCCCTTCTCTCCTAACAGCTTTTAAACTTGCCCAAGTCTCTCCTGCTAACAAAATAAAACCCTGGACCCAGGATTGCTGGTGTTTCTAGTTACCTGCTAAGGTAGAGCTACTACTGGACAGCAGTGGAACTAGGACTTATAATTACTTTGTTGGCCAGCTTTAAAATTAGATTTGTCTTGGCCATTATCAGGTTTAAATGGGGAATTATTTGCATTAATCCAAACTTTATGCATTGATATTTTATTCATACTTTTATGTTCCCCTCTTTCACAGTTACATACGATGTAACCATACTTGCGTGATTGATTGGTTGTCATTATCACTAGACTGTCAGCTCCCGGAGGACAGATTCTGTCTGTATCCTCAGTGCTGAGTATACAAGAAGAGCTCAGTAAATATTTGTTGAATAAATGAATAAAGGAATGAAATTCTCTGAGACAGAGACAGCAAAGGACTATCCATTCATTTGAAATTAGGCTGGTTCATAGATGTTAAAATTTTTAAAATGTATTATTATGCATCATGACATCCAAATATGAGCACTGAAAAATCTTTGATATTTTTATTCAGGCCATGGAAGCAGGACTCTCAGAGGTGAAAAGTGAGTTACAGTCACGTGACGATCTATTGAGAATCATAGAAATGGAACGACTGCAGCTGCACAGAGAATTATTAAAAGTAGGGGAGTGCCAAAATGCTCAAGAAAATAAAAAAAGGTATATTCTTTATATTCAGCAGCCTGAGAGAAACTGCTCAAAATATAATGTTTGACTTTTTAAGAATTTTATATTTGAAACTAGAATTAAAAGTCTCTTTGCTTTGTATTAACATGCTGTTAATTATTAGATATTAAAAATAAAATTAATGATTATTTTATCTTCAAAATTAATATCTTTACTTACCTAGAAAATTGTATCATGTTCTGATTTATGGATACTTACGTGTGACACTGATTCAGAAATTTTCTTACATTTAATTAAGTATGGATATAGATAAGATTTATTCCATATTTTTAAATGCTTTTAATTTTTTCCCTGTAAACCTGTTAACCTTTCCATCTATAAATGTTGTATTTAATTTGACCTCCACACTCACCGCCTTGTCAGTTCCATTCAGGGTTTTGTTAGAACATATTTTTTCCCCTCTTTTAAAATCAGATAGATATTGCATATTCCATAACCACAAAGGAAATGGACTGCTGAGGATTATTAAATGTTTATGCCTGTGACTAGATGGTGTGATTGTTCCAACGACTCACTGACTTTCCAGTTCTCATTGGAACTTGAATCCTTCTCAAATCTGAAGGCCAATGCCAGACCAATGATAGGATTTTAAAAACTGAATAGCCAAATGGTGAGGGATATTTTATTGAAAGGTGCTTACATTGTTTTAAAGGTAATAATTATGTCTTCAAAGTTGTGGTACTTGCTAGCTTGAGGTCTACCCTGTACAACAAATGGCAAATTAAGATTCCTAAAAATGACCTATTGTATGTCTCACCAAGGAAGGTAGAACGCCTGTTGGACAGTAAGCATTATTGAGAGCTCTGTATATAAGCTATATGTCATCATCACCAATTGTTAATAAATCTATTGGAAATACATTATGTGCAAGGCACTGTTCCAGTGTAGTGAGCGGGTGAGAAATGTCTTCACACAAAGAACGTATATGCCTAAAAACATAAATTTCCTAGAAGAGCAAACCGTTCAACCACATCTTGTGGTTTTGTAGAGTGTTGTAGGTACTTCCTATGGGGCTATCTCACAAGGCCAGTGCTGAATTCCAGACATTGCCAACTTTCCTTCAGGACACGATTTAATCTCAAGTCTTACGGTTATTCACATATTTGGCCAATCAACTCTTGTTATGCGTCATTGCCATGCTCTATTTAAGTTGGTATTTATTTTGGTCTCCAAACTACATCTTTCTCATTTGGATAGTATTGCTCAGCTCTAGTTTTCTGAGATTTGATGACCAAATATTTAACTTTTGACAGCTTCCATTTTATTTTAGACTTTGGGCATAGTCTTCTCAGCCTTCATCTTTCCCATTGAAAGTTTCTAATCCTAGTTTGTTCTCATATGAATGTGGTTCTGCCCTTTATGTTGTTTTGGTTTCTTTTATTTGGACCCTGTGTCTTCTTTTTAGTTGTATTAAAATGAAGCAGCCCAGGCTACTGACTGCAGACACACAATAGTTTTTTAGAAGTACTATTGTAATGTTTTTATTCATTATCAGAACTTTTCTCAACAATGCTAAGATTTTGTTAGCTTTTTCTTATGTTAGTTGTAGAAGGACCTTGGGCTGATATGTTCTGAGAGTTAAAAGTAATTCCTACAGCCCGGCCGGCGTGGCTCAGCAGTTGAGTATCGACCTAGGATCCAGGAGATCCTGGTTCGATTCCCGGTCAGGGCACATGCCCGGGTTTTGGGTTCGATCCCCAGCAGGGGGCGTGCAGGAGGCAGCTGATCGATGACTCTCTCATCATTGATGTTTCTCTCTCTCCTTCTCCCTTCCTCTCTCTGAAGTCAATAAAGATATATTTAAAAAAACAAAAACAAAACAGTAATTCCCACAGTCCTTTCCTACGTGACAAATGATAGTTCCCTTATATATTTATATGACTATTTACATTAGCACGACTATTTTCTCTTCTACGGACTTGCCCACATTGAGGTTTGATATCTGTCCTATTCACTCACTTAAATTTACAAGGTCGTCATGAGGTTTTTCCCATTCAGTTTAGCACTCCACCCCCTGAAACTGCTTATTAGGAAGAATTGAACAAAAGGAAAGTCGATTTTCACCTCTTCTAAATCATAGCAAATAAGAACATTTTAAGATTGATCTTGAAATAATGTTTTAAAAGAATACTGGGTAAAATGCTCACAATATTTTCCTGAGTAAAAAATAAAAGAAGACTGAAAATAATGTGTGCAGTGCATTCTAATAGTATAGGAAATGTGTATGGATTTATACACATGCATAGTAAACATATATATATAATATACACACACAAAAATGCTGACAATGTTTTTTTTGGAGGACATTATAACAGTATATATTCTTATATACTCTGTTTTCTACACTTAACATATATATTTCATAAAAAAAAACACACAACTCAGACTAGACACACGTACCTCAAGGATATCACTATCAATTTACACCTTTAAAAGATCCCTTTATTTTTAATCTCTTCATTGGTTATTTTTCTGTCATCACTCAGATTTTGTTTTGTTTATGATTTTGACTTGTGGAACCTTTTCCAAAGTTCTTTGGAAATCTAAATTGTACATACTTATAAGAGGACACATTCCTCAAAACTCTGGACCTACCAGATTAGGCAGGCAATAGAGCGCATGCTGTTCTCCTTACCTAGTTATCTTTACTTTTTCTGTTTTAATGATTTTATTTTACCAACTTCCCTGATGTAAACATTACCTGCTTACACTCCTCTAAGCTTCCTGTAGAAATTGACTTTTAATACTAGCTCTAGCTTTTCCTCTGTAGTCTCCGTATGTGGTTGAAATTCCACTTGATAAATTGCACAGCCAAAGAGTAGATGTAGTTGAGCTCTCTCTGGGAAGACTGTCAGATTCAATCATTTTGCAACACTTTTATGGAGTGGTTTCTCCCCTTGGACTCCTTCTGACATACTTTCTTTCCAGGATGTAGAAGCAACTCAGGTGTATTTCCTTTTCCAAATGGGTTCTCAAGCTATTTTATTACAGGAGACAGGCTTTTCTTCTCACCAAAAATCTTACCTCCACGTGCAAACCCAGTATTCTGCCAATTTTTAATGCATGACTGAAATTCCATATTAATTGCTAGCTGTTTATTTTTTCGCTAAAACCATTTGCACTCAGTTAAGTATGTAAATACTTATTGGATCTGAATATGTTATAACTTGCAATTTCTGTACCTAGAAATGCTCCCAACAAACTAATAACCTATCTCTGCAACCTGCAATGGTCTGAATTAACAATGTAATCCTAACGCTTTATCAATTAAGCTTAAATTTTACTCATTTGACTTTATAGACTTGGATCATCCTATTCACCTCCTATTAAAGAACCAGAAAGGAAAAGGAAAGAGATGTTTTCACTGACCCCAGATCAGTCGACTCAGGAAAAAGAATCACCTAAGGTACGGAAAGCAACGAGCTCCATTCTTCCAGGCAGATCTGGAGTCTTTCAATACAAAGGGGCAAAAAATTCTTCCTTCTCACTCCTTCCTTTTTCCTTCTATATTTTCTCCAAGCTGCTAAAACTGACACTGCTCTGTGTGATGCTATAAAAACCACAAGCCCTAGGACCTTGCTCTGCCACGGGGGACTGCCTGTGAAGCGCGGGGGGCCTGTGGCTCCAGGACAGGGAGCTGACAGCAAGAAGTACGAGGCCGCGGACGGGTGCTCGCCCACTTGTTAGGTGCAGAAGCTGGGGCAGTTGGGTACGCAAGTTGCTTAGGGTCCCCTCTCTAGGATGGGGATGGGGTCATCAGGACCTACACCCCCTAAGGTTGCGATGAGCGTCAAATGAGTACTAATAGCTGCTCCGTAGCACTTACCGTGTGCCAGGAGCTGTTCTGAACGCTTAACAAATCCTAATTCATTCATTCCTCACAACCGTCTTATAAGGTAGGTACTAATATTATTCTCTTTTAATACTTGAGGAAACGAAGGCACAGAGAAGTTAGGTAATTTTTCCCTATATTACACAACTAACCTGGCAGAGGCCAGATTTGAATCCAGGCAATCTGGCTCCAGAGTTCAATACTCCTCCTTAGGTTAAAATCCATAAAATACTGTATGTGAAGTGCTTAGAACAGGGCCTGCCCAGCTCGGAGGAAGCACCTAGTAAACACTGACTGCTGCTGTTATGGGTTACACTTAACATGTGCCAAGTGCTCTTCCAGGAGCTAGAAATACAACAATGAATAAGACCTGGGCACTGTGGCTCTCGATTTCTACAAAAAGTACATTCTCCTCTCCCTCTAGGAAAATCCAGTGGTGGCTTTCTTTCTATGAGTTATCCTGGCTACTACCCACTTCTCTGTCCTTTAGGTTTGTCTGTCACAAAGAATATTCAGTGCTGTATAATCTAAACAATTGCTAAAAGTAGGGAAAACCTGGGTGTGGCTTTGAATCACCATCTAGTGCCCAGCACAGTGCCTGACACTCAATAAGTGAAAATAACTCTTTAGAGAATTAATTAATTAATATTAAGTTCTCCCATAATTGTATGGGGTCATAACTTAAGTTATTATTTATATAAATTCAACAAACATTTATTGAGCATCAAGTGGGACTATGAGCTATTCTGCTCATTTCTGTAGGAAGTACGGTGATATGAAAGATAAATCTGGTCTCCCAAAGAGTTGACTGTCAGGCAACTATGAAGTGTAGAAAAGATGTTGTGAAGTAATGACATTTTCCTTATATTTTTCACATAATCCCATAAAACCGATTTTACTGATATATAAAACTATAACTTTAAAACACTGTTCTTTCTGGTGTCCCTAGTGAATGCGTTATGATAAAATGTTGATTAAAGCCATCTAAAGTGCAGTTACACTGTTCTTAACCTCGTAGATTTAGAAAGAGTAATAAACTTTGAGTAATATCCTGATATTGTACAATTTTGATATGGAAGGAGAGAATACAAGGCACAGGTCTCTTTACAGGCTCTAAGAGACCTGTAGATAACGCATTGCTGTGCAGGAAAGGTAACAAACGAGCTGTGTATAAATAGCTGTAGCTTCCAGGAAGTGTTTGTGGAGAACATTTTCATTCACTTGCAATAAGCCAACAAGAGCCATATATTATGTATCTTCACTTGTTAACATAGAACTAGTTTTAGTCATTTACCTGTGATAAAATTGACATTTTTAATAAAGCCAAAAGTTATTTATAGCTAAACAAGTTAATCTCATCTAGAAGGGAGTTTTGCAGTGCAGCATGTTATTTTAATAACTAAATGTTGTGAAAATAGCAAAAATAGTTTACTCCAGTTTCACAGCAGCATATTCATTTTCTAACATTTTAAAAGTTCCATTTTAAGAAAACATGTAAACTACACCGAAAGGAGGCAAACAGCAAAGTTCAAACTGGGACCAACTACAGAACAACCCAGTGAAAAAAACTATAAGGAAAGATGCGGAGAGAGAAGGTTGGAGATGCAAGGAGACGGTTAACGTCGTCCTGGGGTGAGGGGTTTGTCCTTCGCTTGCCTCGCCTCCTCTCTTGCTCTTGGGAGCGGGATTGCCTAGACTCAGCCTGCTCCCTGCCCTGCGAGTCTCTGGTGGTGGTTTCTGTTCAGTGGCGGGGTTAGACCCTGATTTCTAAGTCATGTCCCACTCTGAAGCTCTCCGAGGGTTAGCGACTAGAATCAGGTGAGAGTGTGGTGGCGTCACCCCGAGGATGGCTCAGGCTTGCCTGCCGGCGGGCCTGTTTCCACACCGGGCCCCCAGCTCCTCCCGAGGTGTGAACCGCCCGCGGGGGCTCTGCTCGCAGAGGTTACGCAGCGCCGCGTCAGGTCCTGAGTCACCTGCCCGTCACCGGGATGTGGCTGTGAGTGGTTATGAGAACTTAATTTTCTAATCTGCAGAGTGGAGAGATTCGTGGGGATTAAGTGAGATGATGTATGTAGAGTACTTAGAACACACACGAACACGTACCAGAGGAGTGGCTTTAAAAAGGTACCACCTAGTCACAATGCGTGGCCTATATTTAGACCTCAATTCAAATAAACCTAAAAAAACATTCACTACACTTCCGATACAGTTTTTAATTTGAATACTTCCTGGGTATGTTAATATTTTTAAGACATTACAATGGCTTTCTGGCCAAGTTTAAAAGAGAGAGAGGATGCCCTTGTTCTTTTAGAAATATATCTGAAATGTTTACTAATTAAATGAAAAAAAGCCTCCTTGAAAAGTAAGTGCCCCGGGGTAAATTCGTATACCTCTCCTTGAGGACGGCCTCCTGTAACCCGCCAGCCTTATTTCTCAGCCACTCCAAAGCCCTTTCGGTTCACTGAGAGTGCGTCCGCCCGGCGCCGGGGCTGCACTCCTTGCCGGGGAGCCCTGCTGCATCTCTGACTCCATCCCGCCTCCGCTTACCCTTCAGTATTCGGCCTGGCGTCCCCCCGGGAGCCCCCCCCTGGCATCCCCAGCTGGGGGGACTACCCCTCCCCTCTGCTCCGCCTCCACTCCCTGTCGCTGACATCAATCGCTACACGGCGTTGTAACTGAATTTTTCTCTTTCCCCCAATGGACTGTGATTTTTTTGAGATCAGTGACCGTGTACTTTATCTCCAAACCTCAAGAATCAGAGCCAGGGAGTGGTTTTTAGAAAGACGGTGAGAGGCTGGACGAAGGCAGTGGTAGCAGGCATGGAGAGCAGCAGCGAGCTCCGAGGGACCGAAACAGAGGAGCCAGCGTGCTGCCTGCCTGGATGTGGGAGGACGAGGGCGGGGAGGGCTCCAAGGTGTCCGGAGCTGATGTTAAGAATATGAGACTCGCCTGGCCGGTGTGGCTCAGCGGTTGAGCATCGACCTGGGATCCAGGAGATTGCGGTTCGATTCCCAGTCAGGGCACCTGCCCGGGTTGCGGGCTCGATCGCCAGCCGGGGGCGTGCAGGAGGCAGCCGATCAATGACTCTCATCATTGATGTTTCAACTCTCTCTCTCTCCCTTCCTCTCTCTGAAGTCAATAAAGATATATTTTTTAAAAAATAAAAAAAAAGAATATGAGACTCCACAGACTGTGGAGAGGTGATATTTTTTCATGGACATATTAAGTTTGAAATTTATTATTATAACATGATTCTGAAAAACATAGTGTTTAGTCATTGAAAGTGCAGCATAATTTAGTGTTTAGAGAAAAGAAAAGAAAGCACTGGATTTAAAGCCAAGAATCCTAGGTTCTAGTCCAGTTAGTAGCTTTATGACTTTGGGCAAGTCGCTTACCTCCTCTAAGCCAATTTTTCCCCCTAAAAAATGCTTGCTGTGGGAGGTGGGCTCGGTGCTCCTCTTCCACAGCGCTCTGGAGTGGCTGTGCAGTGGGAACGGAGTTAGGTTACACAGGACGAGGAAATTCCAGAATCCACCGCTCAGCCAGTGCCTGCCGTTAGCAGGAAGGTGCTGTGCACGTAAGCATTTAAGAGGGTAGATCTCATATTGTGTTCTTACCACACACACAGACACACACACACACAAATGAAGCAACAGGGCCACAGGAAACTTGTGGAGGTAATGGATATGATCATTACCTTGCTTGTGGTGACGGTAGCACAAGCGTAGGTCCAGACTCACAAAACTGTGTACATTAACCATGTGCTGTTTTTTGTAAGGCTGGAGGGAAATGTTTGATAATACTTTTTTCACCTTCCTGTCAAAGTCGTGTCAGTAGTAGGTGATGATTTATGTACAATAGAAAACAGAAGTCAGAAATGAACATTTGGAATTGGAAGGAAAAAAGTAAACGAATCATCGATGTATCTGTTTATAATTTAGCAGTGATCAGAAAAGGAGGGTAGATGGGGCCTAAGTTTTAAGGTAGAATAAGAAGACTGAACGCGGCCAATAAAGGCTGTAAGCTGCTTTCTAAATAAAAAGCCGTGTTAATCTTTTCTGGACTCTATCTGCCGCAGATAAGAAGCCACCTCTGTCAGGAGGAAGAGCACCATGGCTGTGAGCAGGAAAGAATGAGGAATGAAATCTCTGACCTCACAGAGGAGCTTCATCAGAAGGAGATCACTATAGCAACTATCATGAGGAAAGCTGCCCTTCTGGAGAGGCAGCTAAAAATGGAGTTAGAAATAAAAGAAAAAATGTTAGCGAAACAACAGGTATGGAAGCGGGCAGGACAGCACCTGCCCCGTCACTCTTGCTCAGTGCAGATAGCAGCCCTCATTATTGACTGATAAAAGCATCGCATTTCTCTGTTGTCTCTCAGACTAGCATCATATAAATGCTTCGTGGAGTCACATAAAACCTTTGAGAGATAACACAAAGTGTCATCAAAAGAAGAGCCAGGGAAATAAGTGACAGCACAAGATAATTTCATGAGACCTCATCCTAAAGTTTTCTTATGACCCATAGTTTCATCACCTCCTATAGTATGCTCTAGTCAAAGATTCCTTCCTGAATTTGTTTTCTACAGTTTCCTTCCATTAACATTTTTTATCTTCCTAAAAAGCCTCCATTCCAGTTTTTCCTGGATACTTCTCACCCCCATTTTATATATTTATTTTAGGATTTTTAAAAAAATGAATGTTGAAAAAATGAAACTTAATTCATATTTACTAAACATTCACTCAATGCACACCATGGTTCATGGGGGGAAACAGCAATTAGATTCTACTGTTAAAATACTGCAAGTAACTTCTAAGTCCTCTCTCCCTTCCTCCATCCTTTCCTTCCTTCCTGTTTATTTTGAAATTCCCTTACTCCCTTATTCATCATCAAAGCATAGGATTTATCTGCTTTTTTTTTACCCCAAGTCTAGAGGATTTGAGAGAACCACTCAATAACTTTCAAGGCATTTGAGGGCCACTTCAGAAATAACGTGGCTATTTAAATCTGTGTGTTATAAAAACAAGAAAAGATTCAGCCTCTGCTCAATTAGAAGCCTTAAACTAACTAATTTGTTCAATACACAGGAAAATGGCATAGATGGGACAGTGGCATTGGTTGTACCTGTATAGGAAAGGGCATTTTACATGTTAACAGTGACCTGGGTGGTTGAATTATGAATTTTTTGTCACCATTATATTCTGACATACTTTAAGGTTTTGTCAAGGAGAATATATTTTGTAATTTACAAAAGTAAGTGCTTTTAAGGGAAGTGTTTTATATAGAAATGAGCCCTAGATAAATAAAAGTTCAGATATTGTGTTCTAAGTACTATCAAGTAGAGGAAATCTGGTGGGGGGCATAAATTAGGAGACAAAATGAAGTAGTCACCAAAAAGAAAAAAAGAAATTTGGCAGAAATATCAGAACAAAATTTAACATGAAAGTTATATTTGCATATTGTAGAAATTAATCAGGTACTGAAGACATTTAATGGACAGTATTATTCAAACATGTTTTTTAAATTATAATATTTCTGGTGATAATTTGCATACAATAGAAAATAGAAGTGAGAGAAGGAACTTGGGAATTGGAAAGAAAAATGTAAATGAATCACTATTGTAAGTTATCTATTTTTAGCTTAGCACTGATCGGAAAAGCAGGGCAAAGTGGAGCCTACCTAAAATAGGAGAACTGAATGAGAATACCTGATTTATGCTCATGGTGCCGAAGAAGTATTCCCTTCACTCCACTTAGAAAATATTTATATTAACAAAGTAAAATGAATTGTAATAGAATCATGAGCTTTTATTATGAATTTTACATTCACTTTTACCTACTAATCTCCTTTCAGGTGTCAGATATGAGATATAAAGCTGTCAGATCTGAAAACACACATCTAAAAGGAATGATGGGAGACTTAGACCCTGGACGGTACATGGTAATGTGCTGAAATCATTCAGTAAATTGAACAGAGATGCCTTAGTTGGTCAGGATTTACTCAGACATTATTTACTGAGCACTTCCTGCAGGGTGACAAATATCAAATATCCTTGCACACGGGTTAAACTTTTGTCTTCAGGCTAAAACATTTAAACTTCTGGCTTCTCCCTCGTTCTTTTCTTGGAGGGGGCGCCATTCTGATCATCTCCTCAGACATGCCACCCCCTCGCTTTCGCTCTTGCCGTTGCCTCCGCAGCCCCACACCCCGCGTGGCCTGATCCACACGTCAGCCGCCCCCAGTGAAGCCCCCGCTCGACACTCCAGTCAGAATGAACTGTGCCATCCACACTTGGTTTGCATTTCCGTCCGACTTGTTTGCAGCTTCTCACTTCCCCACTGGATGGTGAGCGGGGACCATGTCTTATTAATGTTTGTATCTCCAGCACCTCACCGCGTCAGCGGTGTACTGAGTTTTCAGGGAATGTTGGTTGAATAAAAATTCAACCTTGTGATTTTAAGTAGTGAGTTAACCTCATAGTTTTAACCAGCGAGTTGACCTTGTGGTTTTAACAAGTGAATTAACCTTGTAGTTTTAACCAGTGAGTTGACCTAGTGGTTTTAACCAGTGGCTCTACAGGTTTACCCAAGGCAACTTAAACAGCCTCTGTGTCTTTCATTTCAACTGTTTTAATATAACAGTTGAGGGCTGGTTTTTATATGTAAATAGGATAACGCTTATTTATTGAACTAATGAAATATCATTGTTACTTGCTTACCAGTTATTTGCTCTGAATGAAAATTATGAAATAAAATATTTTTTCCACTGTTCAGGGAATGGAGAGAATAAGAGATGAGTATGGTGCTTGCTTACCCTGGCCTCAGTTTCTCAGCTGTGAAATGAGGACGTTGGGTGAGGCATTCCCCACGGTCCCTCCTTCCACCATGGTACTATATCTCTGTAGCAGTATGTACTTGTTCTCATAATAGTCCATATTCTAGTGTCAAAGAGTAGAAGCAGGCTGGAAGCATTCTGCCCTCTTTTGGGGCCTGGTTAGGGTCCTATGATTGGAGTACTACAGATGGATAAAAAGTAAAATATATGTGGTTTCCCTGTCTGTTGCATAAAATCTTCTTGACACCCAGGACTTTAATTTCTAAACACTGGACACACAGAAAGTTAAATTGCATCCTGCCCCCTTGAGTGTTTTTTTTCTTTCACAAAATGGTTTGTGTTATTTTTAAAGGTCTTTAGGTGTGTATTCTGCATCTTCACAGCCCCACCGAGCCTGCTTCACTCTGGCTTCTGTAGGCATTTAGCTTTGTTCATTTATTTGTTTTTTCAAGAGAAAAACAAAGATGTGTAAAGAAGAAGCTAATTATCCCTACTTCTATCCCCAGTCCTAGTTTGGACTCCTAAGAGATCCAAAGTAGCGTTCTATACGTTTTCTTTGCTCGTGCACACATATACAGGGGATGAGTCAAGTATTCTTTCACAGAAATAAATGTATAGTATACATTATTTTAAACTGCCTTTTTACAACATGTCCTAAACCTCTACAAATCAGTAGAAAAACATCGTTTGATTTTTCCTAACTTCTTAGGAAAAATACATACTTATGTAAAATCTATATTATTTTTAATAAAGTGAATCATAACTTACATACTCATGGTTTTAGTGCAGCCTTTTTTCTTGCTTCTCCCGTTGTCCGTCCTTCCATTTCTCTATGCCACCTCATACCCCATCTACCAGGTAACACATGTTAACTATTCAGTTTGAATCATTTTATACTTTTTCATATATTTGAATTCATATTTGTGTGTGAATGTATATACATATATATACATACACACACATATATGTCATATACACATATATGTATGTAGTCATATATACCTATTTAGGGTTTTTAAGTTTAACTTTTTTTAAAAAGTGGATTACATTATACACACTTTCCTGTGTCTTGTTTTTGTTCACTCAATAATATCCTTTGCAAATCCTTGCAAGTCAGCTGGTTTAGCTCTGTGTCATTCTGTGTAATGGCTTAATAATATCCCATGATGGGAATGTATCAAAATTTACTCAACTATTTTTCAGAATGAATTCACTCATAATTAATTCAACTCTATTTCTGTGTTTTTGCACAAATTAGCAATGTAAAAAAATCCTTATGTATATATCTTGGAATAACTCCCTAAAACTGGAATTGTTGAGTAAAAGGATTTGTATATTTTAATTTTAAAACATTTGTGGTCAAATCATTTTTTACCTTAATCTTTCATCGTTACCAGCAGTATATGTTATAGCTCTTTTAAATTTTTGTCAGTCTGATAGGTGTAAAGTGACTTCTCAATAGAACTTTAATTTGCATTTTCCTGACTACAGTGTGCATATTTTTTATATTTATCTGGCCATGTGCTGTGAATTAGTTATATTCTTTGCTCATTCTTCTGTTGGGCTGTCTTTTTCTAGTCAATTTATAACAGCACTTTTCTAAGTTTATTGTTTGTAGTTTTATTTACAAATCCTTTTTGTAAATCCATACAAAAAGTTTGAAACTTTTATATGTCAAACATGTGTATCTTTTGGTTTCTAACTTCTGAATTTCCTTGCTTGAATAGCAAGGTTCTCCCAATGCCCAGACAGCATATATAATTCTTAGTGTTTCTTCTAAGATATCTACATTTTTCATCTAAGTCTTTAATCCATTTGAATTGTAATTTTGCATGTGACAAAAACAGGAACCCAATTTAAATTTTTATATCAATGTGAAGCTCAATTTATCTAGTTTCTCCTGGTAATTTCCCGTTGGATTCCGTTTGGAATTAAGTTTATATATTAATTTTGAAAGAACTGGTATTTTTACGATAGTATATTTTCCCATCCAAGAATATGACATGGCTTTCCATTTCTTCATTTCTTATTTTATGTTCTTCATTAAGATGCTACAATTTTCTTTGTACAGGTTCTGTGCCTTTATTTTAAATTTATTCCCAAGTATTTTATCATTCTTGTCACTGTTGTAAGTGGAACATTTTTCTTTTTCCATGTGTAAGAACTTATTGCTAATATAGGGAGAAAAAGCCAAATTATCTGTTAGTTCTAGCAGGTATTTTACTTGAGATTCTTAAGTTTTATTGAGATACATACAATTATATCAACAAAAAATTTTATCTCTTTTATTGTTCATATCAGTTATGTTTGTCATATTGCAAGAGAGTATTAAAAAATTATATTCTCGCCCGGCCGGGCGTGGCTCAGTGGTTGAGCGTCGACCTGGGATCCAGGCGATCAGGGTTCGATTCCCGGTCAGGGCACATGCCCGGTTGCGGGCTCGATCAATGACTCTCTCATCATTGATGTTTCTGTCTCTCTCTCTCCCTCTCCTTTCCTCTCTCTGAGATCAATAAAGATATATTTTTAAAAAAATTATATTCTCCAAGAGAATATTAAATAATAGTGAGTACTGACAAATTTGTCTAATTCCTGATTTTAGATGAGATTGTTTTAGTGTTTTACTGTTTAGGATAATATTTGTTCTTGATTTATGGTCTTTATTAAAGATTTGCTACTGGTTTTTATTAAATGCCTTTTCAGTATATATGACATCGTGTGGTTTTTGTTCGTTAATTCATTGATATGTAATAGACTGTGGCTGGCAGATATTTCCTAATATTGATCCACCTTTGAATTCCTGGAATAAACCTTGTTGGTCATTGTATTCAGTGCTAGAGCTGCTGTAACAAAGTCCCACAAACTGGGTGGCTTCAACCGTATTGCACAGTTCTGGAAGCTAGACGCCCAAGGTGTCAACAGGGCCATGTGCCCTCTGAGACCTGTGGAGGAGGGGTCTTCCTCGCCTCGCTGTGGCTTCCAGTGATTTGCCAGCAATCTTGGGCAGTCCTGTCTCACAGATGCGTCACTCCAACCCTCTGTCTTCACATGGCATTCTCCCTGTGTCTCTGTTTTCACATGGCTGTCTTCTTTCCATTTCTTTGTATCTTCCCTCTTTGCATGTCTGTCTCTGTATCCAAATTTCCCTTTTTTATAGAACACCTGTCATATTGGATTAGGGCTTACCCTAATGACATCGTTTTCACTTGATTACCTCTGTAAAGATCCTATTTCCAATAAGGTCACATTCTGAAGTACTAGGGTTAGGACTTCAACATATCTTCATGGGGACGGGGTGGCAAATTTCAACCGACAACAGCCATACTTGAATAATTTTTATATATTACTGGATTCTATGTGATAGTATTTTATTTCAAAATTAAGATCTGTATATATAAATGATATTTGTATACAGTTCTCTTTTGCCTACTTGTTTTAACCTTATGCTGACTTTATAATATAAATTGGGAGCTTTCCATCTTTATATGAGTGGGCTCAAAGAGTTTAAATAATATTGGAAATATCAGTTCTTTAAGGTTAGAAAGAATTTAGCTGTGAAATCATCTGGATACTGAAGTTTCAATGAAGTAAATACTCAATTACCTTTCCATTCTCTTTTACAGTACTTGATGTACTCAAATTTCCCTTCTCCTTAGTTTCTTTTTGTTGTTGCTAATTTGTATTTTTCTAGGAAATCTTTACCCATTCCAATTTGCTTCCTTCTTATCAAAGGTAGTAAGATCCTACAATTCTTTTCATCTCTTCTACATTCTGTGGTTTATGTTCCTTTCTTATTCCTAAGCTTGTATAGTTTAGGTCTCTCACTCTCTTTCTTTAAGTTTGACACGTAAGGAGATTATTTATTTTTATTAGTATTTAAAAGTATTGTCTTTTGATTTCTAAACCTAGATTAAATTTTATCTCCTCCATGAATTTATCTCCAGCTACTCTAGGCCCATTTATTTCTCCTTTCTTTGACTTTCTTTAGCACTCTTAGGAAGTTGACTTTATAACTGCTCTCTATATTTTGTATTTGAAGACTTAAAATTGACTGATAATTAAAATAGCCAAGCTACTCCCTAAAGAGAAAAATCTCATGTCTATTAAATAGAAAAGAGTTTAGTATAATTCGTTGCTCTTTAAGAGTTTACAATCTATGATGTCATTTATTTAGCACTCAGTTTAAAGATTTCATGAAGAAAACTCCTATTTGTTATGTGTTAAATTTATTACATGTTTAGATAATTAGTTAATTCCTTTTGAAATAATTGGAATGGACAAATAAATACAGAATTAAATCACTGGTGCTGAAATTTTACGTCAGACAAGAAGAAACAAAATATTTACATCATTATTTTTAGATCTTCTAAAATATGTGGTATTTGGATAATATTAAAATAACAATTATTTTTTTCCTTTCTAGACAAGTGAAGTTACTGATATTAAGGTAAGTTATTTCTAAACAGCTAGAGCTTTGAGAACTTTTCTGCTTGACTAACTGTGAAGCTCCCTGCTAATTTATACTTAGGGAAAGATGACTTTAAAAGGCACTCACCAGTGGCAGGAGCAGCAGCCCTGCACGGGGCCCTGTCCAGGGCATGCTGGGGGCTGCGGCAGCTCCGCTTCTCCTCTGTGGGCGTACTGATGGCACTGACCACCCGGTGTGTAAGGGTTCCTCAGGTCTCAGAGAGAGTCTTCGAATTTGTGCAAAAACTTAACTGCATGGAGAAAAGTGAGGGGTGAGCTTTAGTCTGCTCCTGGGTAGCTAAGGAAGAGTCAACTCTGTCATGGTAACTTTTGTGATTCCATGTTTACGTAGTAGACCTGTATTTATAGTTATTAAATTTTCTTTCATTTAAAGAAAGTGTCATAAAATCAGACTTAATCAGAACTCAGAATTTATGGTCCTTTTTAAGACTAATTTGCCTTTTGTTATCCATAAAGTTTGCTAAATAAAGTAATAGCATAAAAATTAGTACCCTCACAAGTATCTAAAACAGCAATTTACATACTGAAAATCAGCATACTAACCACAAAACATGATTTAAGCCAGTTCTGTAGAAATACTTTGTTAGCCTATTATTGTTGAACAAACATGAATTTAAAAGAATAAGTGCACATTCAAAATACTATTATTCATGCACTTCATTAATTCAACTGGCCTAACGCTAGTGTGTCCAGGTAAATAGGCACCAGAGGTTTTGCCATTTCAAGAATAAAGAAATGACCCAGCTGTCATGGTTCAGTGGCTGAGCATCAACCCCTGGAACCAGGAGATCAGTTTGAGTCCCTGTCAGGGCACATTCGGCCCCCCAGTAGGGGGCGTGCAGCAGGCAGCCGATCGATGACTCTCATCATTGATGTTTCTATCTCTCTCCCTTTCCCTTCCTCTCTCTAAAATCGGTAAAAACATATTTTTTTCAAAAGGAATAAAGAAATGGATTAAAACTATGGAACCCTAAAGTTTTGAAGAAGAAAAAAAGAAATTGAGATAAGGGGCCTATAAAATAACCCATCAGAAATATAGAGGTAGAATTTAACGAATGTCTGTCTTCACATGATAGCCATCTAGCAGAAAATATATTCCTGAAATTGCCAGAGAAGTATTTAAGAAAAACATGAAATGAGAGAGCTCGAGAAACATTGTTGTGAAGGAAAATGGAATATGCTTTTAAATATAAATCATGGAAATGCATTGACTGTGTAATTCTTCCAGGTCATGCTCACAACACTTACTTAATTATGGTACATTTAGAAATTGTGAGCTTTTTAATAAATCATTAGTATTATTCTTAATTACTTTAACATTGGGCCAAAAAGAGTCTTAGATAAAATCTAATTTTATAAGAAAATGCTTGAATAAAATTATAATTGAGCAGCAGACCATCAAGAATTATACATTTTCAATAGTAGATATCTTTTTAGAAGTAAAATTCTGAATCCTTTCCATGATCTTTTCCAACCAGATATGCTCACATGAATATTTTCCTTATGAAGGGCAAAATTTTATAAGACTCTGCCTCCTTTATATTTATCACAAATCTGCTCCAATTTTAGAACAAACAATCCTTTCTCTCTTAAAGCAGACGCGGACTCCTCCGTTAGCTGCACTGGTGTATCTTCAAATGAGCAGCTGTCGAGACATACTACAGGCAAGGGCTCAACAAACAGAGAAGCACCTTCAATGGCCCTTCCTTTCCAAAAGGCGCCGTAGGCAATAGACATAAGCACATAACCCTTTCTTACTGTTTTCAGGAAGTTTGCCTTCCTGGAGTGTGTCCTGTCATTCAACAATGAGACCTTTCTAAAGATTTATAAATTTCTATAACATATAAGGCAGTAAACAGAGAATGTAGTCGAAAGGCTTATCCTTTGAAACAAAAAATAAAACAAATCGGTAAACATTTTTGATACCTAACATGCATTGAATTTTAATACCTAAGATGTAGTGCCGTGAAATAGCATGGAAAGCCTTAAATTTAGAAACTTCAGAATGAAAGTTCTAAGGCATAGTCATCTCTAGTCCTACAGGCTTTTAACCACGGGAACTTGGAGCTTCAAAAGATATTTCATACACGGTACACTGTGTGCTGAAATATTTCCCTTCTGACGGTAGAGAACTATTGTTTAACCAGCAACTACGCCAACTCACAGATATTCGCATCATAGGACTAAAAAGGGCTATGTAGAGTCATTTAAAGCATGTTCATATGAGAACATATAATGTTTTTTTAAAACTTTGTGAGAAGAGCAGTTTAGACTCTCCTTAGGACACTTCTTACAGCATTTAATTCAAACAGCATCAGAAATAATTTTTTTCTTTCTTTAAACCTCTCATTGTTATTTAAACATGTTTTTTATTCTCTTCTGAAGAAATTGGGGGGTCCATACCAGTTAGTAAAACTTGATCATGAAGCTACATTGCTCAACACTGTGAGGTCCTGGCACAGTCCCAACTGTTAGGTCATTGGTTTAGAGTGGGCCAGAATCGGACCCCAGCCAGTATGGATTTTGATATAATCTGTTGTATCACCCAACAGCGGGGAATCAATATAGGATTTTCTATAACGACATGTATTATTTTAATCAGAAAAAAAAATGTATTTCCAATTGAAATCTGTGTTAATTCTGGTTCCATTATTAATCAACACTAGAAGGCATACCCTATAGACACAAAAACTCTTCAATCTAACCAACTTGTTCTAGATGCAGAGGGCGCGGTGATAAGTGAGCCTTTCTCTGTGCTGGAAACGGGTCGTGGTGCGCTCAGCCCCAGCTGTCACTGCCTCTCTGTGTTGAGGGAGGTGAGGGTGGGCCACGGCATGCGGGAGGCACACAGGACAGAGCCACATCGCTCGACTCAAATGGAAGGGCCTCTCCAACACAGGGTCCAAATGCACAGAAAATATGCGTCACTTACGAGGGACAGCGTTCTCAGTGATGGTTTATTTTATTCTCTAGAGCGCGGACTGCACTAACAGGGAACATTCAAGGTATACATCTATTAACAAACTGGAGTATGAAAATGAAAGGCTCCGAAACGATCTTGCAAAACTTCACGCCAATGGAAAACCAGCGTGGGCTAATCACAATACCTATGAAGAAGTGGGACGGTATGCCTATCAAAACCAAATAAAAATGGAAAAAAATGAATTTAGGTATGCTGACTCCATTGCATAAGGATATAAATGTATAAACATTTCATTGAAATTTCTTTAAACAATTCAAATGATAACTTTACACATTTTCTCTTCAGTTTAAGTTTTATTTTATAGTGATAATACAGTAGTGCAGATAATGAAATTCTGTGTTGTCAATAGCTTTCAAAATATAACAGTGAAGTGGGTAGAGTGTTACAGTAAATTTTAATCACTTCAGAACTTTTCTTATTAGCTGATGTGGCATACAAAACATACACATATGTAATCTTATTTTTTATGTCATAAGAATAGAAAAACTATATTTTAATGCGACATATAGTGTTCAAACAAATAGAAAATATAGGAATTTCATGCTCCCTTCTGACTTAACTTCAATACACTTTATATTGATACCAGCATTAGCAACAAACCACTGGCTATTCATAGGGAAAGAATTATGGATTATTAAAAGAGGGTTTCTGAGAGGAAAAGAAACATCTGGAAGATCATTATCTGCTGTCCACATTATCCCCGTGCTCTTTAAAATGTCTTAGTTCAAAATCTAAGTAAGCATAACCATAAAATTAGACTAATTTATTCAACTTTAATAAAATATTTATGGAGTCAAAACTCTCTCTGGAGGCTTTACACTCTTTTTCTAAACTTAGAAAATGCTCAGTAAAACAAACACGTTTCCTTTCTACAGAACCTCTGAGTCATTAATATGCTAATGTACACTGTGAGATTCCAAGAGGGTCGGGGTGTAACATTCCCCAAACTTATTTGATATGAGATTTGTTAACATTCCACGACACATATGCTGAGAAATGGTGCATTGATAGGTCCAGGCCCAAATTCAATACTACTTTTGCTCAGAAGCTTAGCATACTTAGCATGAAAACTTTACATACTGTTTTCATATAAAATAATATTTACAATCTTGGGAAATTTATCTAACCTTTGTAACTCTCAGTTTCCCATCTGACAAATAAAGATAATAATTATCAGGTTTTGTGAGGATTATTGGAGAAAACATAGTTTCATGTGAAACAAATATAGCAGTTCTATAAATGTTGGCCATTATTATTGATATTATTACTAACAAAATTATTAATGTTTATAATAATATTAATATTTCTCCCATAACTCATTCTGCCTAAAAAGTATGTTTTGATGCATAGATAAATGGCTGAATCTGACATTTCCTCAGACAACCCTGTGGGGGAGGGGATTGCAGCTGAGCATGTCTAGTTTTCAGGTACATAAATCCATAAATCCAAGGGACATACTAAATAAAGATGCCTGTTCAACATTCTTGTGGCTATAGTACAGCTCTCCCCGACTTCACCACCTCAGCCCTGTATGTATTAGGATATATCCTAATCCGATGCAGGAAACAGCAACCACTCAAAAATGCTAAATTAATAACCCCTCTTCAAGTGGTTAAAGAAGGGAATGAGGGAAGGCTGGCTGCTACCCTGCAAAGCACTGGTGGTGGGAGCTGCGGGGGGCAGGATGGGAGGGTGGAGGAGGCCACGGAGACGGTCACGGGCCAGCCTCTGGTGAACGTGTCCTTGTTAACTGGCCACCCTAACTGAAAATCTGTCCAAAGGGGTCTAATCTTGATTTGGGTGTAAGGCTGTATTTTCTAACATAGAATAAACCCTTTACTAAGTGCTTTCCTACTCCGTGGACCCATTTCTCCACGGGTCAGATCATGGCCCCATGTCCATGGTTTTCTCTCTGTAAGAGAAAAGCAGCCCCTAAAGATACGATAAAGGGGCTTCCCATGTGTGTCAGTCGCCGGCCTGTACAGAGCACCCATTGGGTGCAGACCATTGTTTCCTGTCCTTGCTCGTCGGAAATAACTTCAAAAGCCTTAGAGGAAGGCACCCGGTGTTGTTACTTAAGCAAAAAGACAGTCCCTCTGCCTTTTATTATTTTTTAAAAGTATTTTATTGTGTGGTTGCCCCCTTTTTTCTCTTTGCCGAGCAGCACGGAACGTGTCAGAGGAAGGAAACAAGGCGGTGGGGGACTCAGACAGCAGCCTGGGAGGCAGGCGCGCAGCAGGGGACGCTCTTAATAAGCAGTGTAGACAGACTGGTGTTCCTGCTGCAAGCCTGTGTCCTGCCACTCTCGCCTGTTGAAAGTTTCATTAAATTTGTTTTAATGCCTTGTCTGATTTCAGTGTTCTCCAGTGACCTGGTTTTTAACAGAAACAGCATTTCAAATGCTCTGAATAAATTATTACCATGTAAAAGCCACTATGGGGAAAGAGTTGTTGAGATGCAAGGACACTGAACTCACCAGTGGAGAACTGTGCGGCACATATCCATTAAATTTAGCAAGAGAAACATGAAAGTGTCTTTCTTTTCCTCACAGCACAGCTCAACAAAGTCAAACAGTAAAATATATATATGTATATATATTTATTTTTAAATATATCTTTATTGATTTCAGAGAGAGGAAGGGAGAGGGAGAGAGAGAAACATCAGTGATGAGAGAGTCATGGATCGGCTCTGCACCCCCCCAACTGGGGATCGAGCCCGCAACCTGGGCATGTGCTCTGACCGGGAATCGAACCCCAATCGCCTGGATCCTAGGCTGAGCCACAGCCAGGCGGGCTATGTGTTTATATTTGTTAGACATTAAAAAAATCCAAATATATACGTTATGTTTACATATCAATGGCTAATGCAGAAACATCTTATTAAACTATTTGAGAAAGGAAAAGCTTTTAGGTAAAAATATGGGAAGACAATGTCCCACAAAAGTCTAACGCCTGCAGCCCAGCTTTTCGCTGCTGCTCGCGTCCCTCTGGGAAAGGCTTGCGTGGCACGTTGTGAACATAACCTCTGGCTACTCAGGAGCAGCTCCGCTTCTGCTGCGGGCTTCACCCCATTGGAAGCGGCGCGTTTTCATGCTCACCCACTAGAAATAAGAAGTATTTTAGGGTATTCCAAAGGATTTGCTTCCCAATAACACAGTGACTTGGCACTTTTTAAAAAAATTCTGAATGAAATGTAGTTGAACTGGATGAAGATGTACTGAATATTTTAAAACTTTTTAAAGTTAGAGCTTCGAGGCTCAGAATAGCTTCCAAGCTGATCTGGAGTAGGGTGTCCAGAGCTACTCATATGTAACTAATTTTAATGACGAACCAACTTTGTAATAAGTGGAATTTGATCCCTACTTAAGATACATACAAGGGAATTTATGGTTTTAAAAGTTATATCATATCCTGGGAAAATTTTAGTAATCACAGACTAATATAAAACCATTAAAATTCCTTCAAGTCTAGTGAACCAATTAAAAGCTTCTGATACTAAAAACCCACAAAGTCAGGTCTGTCATCGCCACTCTCAGGACCCCTTGTACAGGAACAGTCACTGGAAACGAAGCACGCCGAGAAAATGCTGCGCCGTGGCGTTGCTCACAGAAAGCAGGGCCTAGCAGGCAGAGCCACCCTGGGCCAGGAAACGGGCAGTCTGCAGACTGGGGAGCACCGTGCGGGGCATTAGGGGGGGCTGGGGGCAAGCTGCAAAGGGACCCTGCTCCCGGCCCGGCCGCTGCCCTGAGCCTGGGGACATTCGTGCACGGCCAGGACTGGACCGGCAGCCGCAGCTCTGAAAACCGCGCCAAGGGGTGACTCGAACCCCAGGCAGGTACAGCTTTCCCCAGCACAGCAATGAGATCCTGCCCTCCTGGCAAAGGCAGGCAGAGGCCTTGGAATAGGGCCCATGGAGAGGATAATTGAAATAATTTTTAAGACGGCTATTAAATTGATCTACTTAGCATTTTATGCAAGGTGGTTTTATGAAGTATTTGAATAGCTGGCCGATTCCAGAAGAACATGTCAGATATAAAGATGATTTAAAGCAAAAGTACTTTACTTCATAATGTAGTCTTTCCTCTCAATCTCTGCATTTTATTGATCTTACAATAAAAAGAATGTTCCTATATAAATTTTAGTCATTAAGACAGTAAAACTGTATCTCTACATCCAAAGGAAAATGGATAATTGAGATAATTATTTAGATAATTTAGGACAAATAATGCTTTTCCCGAAATCTCTGCATAATTGAGATTACAGAGAGAGAGATTTCTTGAATCACTTCTATAATTATCTCACTTTCGCCAGCGTGCTTTGCAGGATAGATGGTAGCCTCAGTCAAATGAGAAGGTCCGGCCGAAGGTTCTAGGCAGATGTACTATGCAATTGTTATAATTCTATTTGATTGTGGGATGTTTCATCCGTGCACATCACAAACCCTGTTATTTCAGCTTCATTTGTTGTTTTGTTTCCATGGTAATTATGGTCTGGGAGAATGAATTTTAAAAAAAGATATATTTCAAGATAAGGGAAAATGGAACACATGTCGTGTTTGTTTTTATGGACTAATTTACAGATGCCTCACTTAACTTTTATTGCTGTTTGTGTGCATAGCTTTGGAAATGTTTGCATAAGAAACAAGCCTATATAGATAGTCTTTGGATAAGAACAGAGAAAAATAATGTACATTTTTTTGAACTGTGTGAAATTAAAATAAGAAGGCTTTGAAAGTGGTTCATCAGTGTTTGTGGAGAGTTTGAATTAATAGTAAAAATAAATAATTTTAAATTGAAAGGATTTTTGTTTTCATGGTCTTGATGATTTTTATTCAACTTAAATGCCGTTTTGATGAATTAATGCTCAGAAAGATATTTATTTAGTCCCAAACAGCCCATATTGTTAGGACCTTTTTGGGTAAAATTTTAGGGTAAGTTGGTTTGTTTCTTTGTTTTATAATTCATTTGTTTAGTCAGCATACCAAACTGTAAAACCTCACTGGCATTTTATTCAGGCTCATTTTCTACCCTCTATTTTAGCACAAACAACAAATCCTGTACTCTGCCTTTCATCCGAATTGTGGCGCTCAATTCTCATAACAACCTTTTTTTTAACATGAAAACATTAAGGTAACAAAGATAAAGTCACCTGCTCAAGGGCAACAGTGCGGAGGAGCTTAGGAGATGGTTTAAATTAAAAATATGTTATGAATTATTAATTCCTCTAGGAATGAGAAAGACTTGTTCTACAACTTTAAAAAAGTATAATTCTGTTAAGAAAGCCAGTGAAGTTAAGTACAATAGAAAATAAAAAACATAAGGGCGGGGGGAGGACATCTGTAATACTTTCAACAATAAAGATAAATTTTTAAAAAACAAGTATCTATTTAGAACTGTCAAGGGCAGCACCGTTAACTGTTTTGAGATTTTTCTCAAACTGATATCATGTTACTTAAGTGGCAAAGAGATACAAAAGTAAAACAGAGAGGGAAGCAATGTACTCAGTAAGGATAGCAGATATTTTTAACAATTACTGTACAAAGTTTTCTGCTTTGTTATTAATCATTCTAAGTCTTTTAAATAGAAATATTTGTCAGGAAAATTATTTTCAGAGAAATACCTTTTTATATTTTTTATTATTTATTTATATTTTTTTATTGCCCTTGTTTGTTGGTTGGTTGGTTTGTACTGGGCCCTGATCTTGGCAGTCCCTCCCC